AAGATATAATAATAATAATAATAATAATAATAATAAACCATCAAACAAATTATAGAATCATAACCCGTTTAATCACTCAGTTCACAATGAAATTGATCATAATAAACTCGAAATGATCGTCATTTATCCAAAGATATAAAGCACTAAAAAATTTTTGTTGTACTGTACAAATCAGTAAGGCCTTTTCAGCCCAGCGGCCACGCCAAACAGGACTTAAGGCATTTCAAATCCATACATCTTAGCCCAGTCTGGTTTAAGGCCCACAAGATTTACAAAATTACCCCTAATTCAACTGTGCATTGCCTTGCTCGATTACGAGCCATGCTATGGTTATGATTTCTGTAAAAAAAAGATTTTTAAATTAAAAAAAGATGATGATGGAGAAGTATCTGCAAACAAATTGTGCAGGTACATTAACTATTTCCATCATTTCCTCCCTCCAATAGTTTAATATTTCATGTGCAGGGCTGTTGATTATTTTTTTTGTCCAATCAATTTTTTATATAATTTCTGCTGGATGTCTTAGATTGAAGACTAGTTATGTGCTCATTGTATTGTAAATTTATCTTTAAAACGTGAAACATAATCAGGCAACTTAGTATCACAGTAATATAAGCACAGACCTGATTGTGATTAGATGGTGTTTGATGAAATGCCCAAGAGAATATTATTGTGCAGAATAACTGAAGTGGATGTAGATTTCAGTATGACATAGACGCCCAAATATTCGTATACTATATAAAGATCTCAGTTTTAGGCCTAATGCAGTGTCCTTTGCAGTTGAGCCTTCTGAAAATTTATCCATTTGTTGTTTGAAAATCGACATTGACACGTGATTAGATATCTTGAAGCGGGTGGGAAAGCTGCATCGTCCAATGTAAAAAGCGAATATTTTCACCTTTAATGTAACTCCTGTGGCAGTTTTCATTTAAGTGTTGAGTCTGCTAAGGTTTGACCTATTTATTTACAGTTGAGAGTAGCAAGGACTAAATACACTAGTTTCTTTCTGAATTCTAGATTTATGACTATACCTGATCATTCTAGATTTCTGTGAACAAATAATATCAGAAGAGAACGGAAAGAGAAGAGTCTTTGTTTTGAGGCTTGGCTTTGTCGTTTATTATGTTGCTGGCAGCCAAAATGTGATCCACTTAGTTAGTGGAGCACTGCTGCATAGTAGAGTGCACGCTTATGGTGGTTTTTGTGTTTTGCTCTCCCACTTTCGGGACCCTGCATGTAGTTGTTATTACTTTTTATACTTGTTCCTTTCATTGAATTTGTGACCGAAAAATAAGTAGGGCATTTCTCATGTTATAGTGATGGCCACTAAGTGATGCCTACCATTATGATAGAAAAAGTTGGTTTCTATCTTATGACGTACAATGAATGATAAAAAAAATAACAATAATAACGTTCCCAGAGCATGTTAACTATGTTTAACTTCTTTTTGATGAATCTTTGAGAAAGTTCCTTTCTGTTATCATGAAAAAACAAGAAAATATGGCAACCTTTTGTTCATCAATATTTGCGGTCTTCAGTCAAAATCTTTTTGTAATCTTTCCCTGTTAATACTGCATCTGAATTTTCTATAGGAAAGCTTGGGCTGGTTTACAACAGGACATTTTACCTATGATTTAATGGATTAAAAAGAGGAACTATTCACATTGTTTTACTGTTTTCCGATGAGGAATTATATCTTGCAGTTTCTGCAGTCTACTAGTTGAATTTTAAGATTTAACTAAACCCCTTTCTTCTAGAAGTTCGTTTGTAGTGCTTGGTCAGGATAATTGAGTTAACAAAAATTTTTCCGGCAACGGTTTCTTCAAAAGTTAAATTAGAGATCAATAAATCAGGAGGATAAAATGGATGAACTAGTCGGTACAAATTAAGGGAGACAAACAAAAGCAACTTCTTCCTGTCTCTGTTCTCCAACATTAGAGGAAAGACGTAGATGTAAATTCTTTTGCTCTGGTGTTCCCATTTAACAAAATCCCTTAGTGCGTTAGTAGTCTTTAGTACTTGATAGAAGCTTAGTTAAAAGTTAAGGGGTCATATTGTCTCTTAGATGCTAATTGCAAGTTACTTTTGCATGTGTTGTGTGCTATTGGATATCTTGGATGTTAGTAATCCTGTGATGGTAGTTATCAAGTCAAAAGGGGTGGTTGATATGGTTGATACCGTGAGATTCCTTTGTTTTCTAGAGTATCTATTTTGAAGAGCACATGGGTTCTAAAGGAGAGATGCTACAACTTTTGGCATATCATAGGTTATATATTGCACATGACATGGTTGTTACACTAGAGAATCAAATGTTCTTTTTTGTTTTATTTCATTTTCAACTAAGCTCATGATAGAGATCAGATATTTTCTGATAGCTTCCCTTCCATGTGGTTAGTTGTAGAGCAAATAACATAACACATGAAAGAAGATGGTGATCAAATATGGCCTAGTCCACAAGGAAAGGCTTGAGGAGATATCATCATTAAAATGTAGTCATAGAGACTATGTCCTTCCTTAAAAATCTCGACACAGGATCTTGAGAATATTATCCTTGCCTCTATTATATGACAATTTATTACATAGAGAACTAATTACACCTTGATGAAACTCCATCTAAGTTTTGATTTTGGTGAACACCATTACTCTTTTTGATGTCTTGTGTCTTCATTTCTTTAATCATGATGTGAACCATGACTATGGTTATTCTCAAGCAGGACAAATAATGGGTTAAAGTTAGAACCATTTTGTAGAGAATAGAGAAAACCCTAATTGTTTTATTGAGAATAACAAGAGAGATATATATAGCCATACAAATAGGGTTAAGATTAACGGGTAACATCCCATTAACCCAATACCCAATATTTAACTTAACACTCCCCCTCAAGCTGGAGCATAGATGTCTACCATGCCCAGCTTGTCACATATAGTAGAGAACACCTTTGAAGAAGTAGCATTGGTAAGAATATCAGCAAGTTGTTGTGAGGACGGAGTGAATATGAGAGATACTATCTTCTTCTCCTAAGCATCTCTGACAAAATTGCAGTCAACTTTAATATGTTTTGTCCTCTCATGAAACACAGGATTCTGTATAATATAAATGGCAGACTGGTTGTCACAATGCATTGGCATGGGTCCAGGCTGAACAAAACCAAGCTCTGTCATAAACTTTCTTAGCCACACCATCTCACAAGCAGTGTGAGCCATTGCTCTATATTCGGCCTCTGCACTAGATCGTGATACTACATCTTGTTTCTTGCTTCTCCAAGTCATAAGATTACCTCCAACAAAAGTATAAAATCCTGAGGTTGACTTCCGGTCTCCCATGCCTCCTGCGTAGCCAGCATCAGAGAAAGCCGAAATGTGAGTATGTCCATGCTTCTTATATAACAATCCTTTGCCAGGGCAACTCTTGACATATGCCAAAATCTTCAGAGCTGCTGTCCAATGAACCTCTCTAGGTTTGTGCATAAACCTGCTCAATACACCTACTGCAAAAGTAATATCAGGTCTGGTAACTGTCAAATATATTAGCTTCCCAATTAGTCTTCTATATCGTCCAACATCATCTAGGAGAGAGGTATCATCACGCCATAAATCAACATTTGCCTCCATTGGAGTGCTTGCAGGTTTGCATTCCAAGAGACCTGCTTCTTCTAGTAAATCTAGCACATACTTCCTTTGGGACAACAACATGCCATGTTTTTGATATGCAACTTCAATCCCAAGAAAATACTTTGGCTTTCCCATGTCCTTAGTGATAAAATGACGGTTTAGATACTCCTTAGTCTCAGTTAAGGCAATAGAGTCACTCCCAGTCAGCAGAATATCATCAACATATACAGCTAAAATAACCAAACCAGTTGTTGTGCATCGAAGAAAGACAGATTGATCAGACTGACAACGTTAGAAACCAACATTAGAAATAACCTTGCTGAACTTATCAAACCAAGCTCGAGGATTCTGCTTTAACCCATAGATGGATAATATTCTCCCCCTGAGCAACATACTCATGAGGTTGCTCCATATAAACCTCCTCGTCCAAATCACCATAAAGGAAAGCATTCTTCGCATCTAGTTGGTGCATCGCCCAATCCATATTAATAGCCAGAGAGAAAAGAATTCTGATGGAGTTGAGACGAGCAACGGGAGAAAAGGTTTCAAAATAGTCGACACCATATATCTGGGTATAGCCTTTCGCAACCAGGCGAGCTTTATAACGGTCAACAGACCCATTGGGGCGATATTTTAGGATATACACCCATCTGCAACCAACCATAGTCGCTCTAGTAGGAAGAGAAACCAAGTCCCAAGGCCCTCTAGAAAGTAGCGCATTTATTTCCTCATCCATGACCTGCTTCCAAGGTTATCGATAGCGGATAGCGTCGCGTAGCGGTGAGGCATCGCTAAGGCTATTTCGGGTTATTGTGGCAAAATAGCGGTAAAAAACGCAAAGTCAAATAGCGGTCTAATTTAGATATGTATAAATACTAAAAAAGAAAAATCTAAGAAATCTAAAAATACATATTGGATGATTTAAAGAGATCCTAAACATGAATAGACATGTAACCATCACGTAATATCGAAGATGACTGGAGGAGTCAAAAAGTCGTTGTCTTCGAGAAGAAGAGCTTAGCGGTGACAGGACTGCCCTAAGAGGAGCTCACGGTGAAGGAATTGAAAGGAAGTATCAATGTAGGTGTCAAAGGCTATGAGAGGTGACGGGAGTATGCTGAAAATCATAGGAGACGGTGGAATACAATGGTCAAGGGTTGAGTTTAATTTAAAAAAAAATAAGCCTCAAATCGCTTTTAAATAGCAGTCAAAAAGCAAAATTCGAATACAATCGCTCACTATTTACCGTTATGACACACTATTAGCCGCTTTTGCTCATATTCCGTAATATGTCAACGCTATTGCGTGATAGCGTAGCGGGCGATAGCGTCACGGGAAGGGACCGCTAACGCTATTAGTGCCGCTATTGTGATGCTATTTACCGCTATTTATAACAGTGTCTGCTTCCAAGCTGGTACTAACATAGCTTTCTCATATGACCTAGGTATAGATACAGTAGACAAGGACAAGGCAAACTGACGAAAAGATGGATTGAGACGGTCATAAGAGACAAAAAGAGATATAGGATATTTCGGGCAAGACCGTTTACCTTTTCGAAGAGCAATAGGGATATCCAAGTCAGAAGGAATAGAGGTCTCAACATGAGATGGATCGACAGCTGGAGATGAAGCTTCAGCAGTAGCAGATTCAGGGGCATGTACTTTTGGGCGGCAAGAGTATGTCAGTAGAGGCTTCGGTGCAGGAGCTACAGGAGCAGGTAATGGAATAGTAGTAGGAGCAGAAGAAGGTAGTGGTACCTGTGGACAGCCAATAGTAGTGAAACCAGACGAAAAATATAGGACATACTCAAAAAAGATAACATCAGCAGGCATAAAATATTTTCTGGTGGACGGATGATAATACTTATATCCTTTTTGAGTACGAGAGTATCCAACAAAAACACATTTGATGGATCTAGATGACAACTTATCCAAATCAGCAGTTAAATCCTGAACAAAACATGTAGAACCAAAGACACGGGGAATCACAGAGAATTGTTTTTTATCAGGATAAAGACAATTGAATGGTATTAAACCATCAAGGACAGAGGAAGGCATGCGATTAATCAAATAATTTGCAGTGAGAACAGCATCAGATCACAAATACTTTAGAATATTCATATGTATCATCAGTGTTCTAGCAACATCTAGAATATGCCTATGCTTCCTCTCAGCAACTCCATTTTGTTGTGAAGTGTGAGAGCAAGAAGTCTGATGAATAATGCCATTAAGAGCACAAAATTTTGAAACATCACTTTTCATATATTCCAAAGCATTATCAGTACGAAGAATACGAACAGAAGTAGAGAACTGAGTTTTTATTTCATTATAAAAGAGTTCAATAACGTGCGAGACCTCTGACCTCTCTTTTAACAGATAAAGCCACGTCATGCGAGAGAAATCATCAACAAAGATAATAAAATATCGAAAACCTTGCACAGAGGGAACACGATAAGGACCCCAGACATCGGAATGAACCAACTCAAAAACAAAACTACTATGTTTATCGACTCGACTCTGAAAAGTAGCACGATGGTGCTTACCCAGTTCACACGACTCACAACCTAAAGAAAAAATAGATGGCTGAATAGAAACTACCGATCTAAGTTTTTATAGTGAAGGATGACCCAAACGCCAGTGCCACAATAAAGTGGAGTCAGACTGTGATGCAACAAGGCCAGCTTCTGACACACTGTCGTCTAAATAGTACATACCTTCTCTCTCATGCCCCGAACCAATCTTCATCCCAGTTGCTAGGTCCTAAAAAACACAATAAGATGAAAAGAATGTGACTTTACAATTATTTTGTTTTGTAAACTTGCTAATGGATAATAGGCTAACAGGAAATTTGGGAACATATAACACATCAATTAGTTTTAAAAAGGAAGTAGCATGAACTACTCTATCACCACGAACTGGAGAAAGAGTACCATCAGCAATGCGGATAGAAGGAAACTTATCAGAAAGATGTAAAGATACAAAGTGATCCTTTATACCTGTCATATGAGATGAGGCTTCAGAATCTAGTACCCAGGGTTTGTGAGAAGAAGCTATGTAAGCATCCATACCTGAAGAGGATGCATGAGTAGCAGAATGAATATTCTGAGAGAGTTCTAGCTGGCGCAACCTCTCATAATCTGCCTGAGAAATCTGAACAGTAGGAGCAGTAACAGCTGGACCACCAGAAGTAGTAGTAGAAATAGATGAGTTAGTCGACTCTGTATCAGCTACCTGGGCCCACTGAGGACAACCAAACTTCTCCCAGCACTTCTCAGAAATATGATTGGTTCTCCCACAATGACCACACTGTCGTGAGTCCTTATCAGATTCACCTTGCCTCCCACCAAAGAAACCACGTCCTCCCCCTGAATCACGGCCACGATCACGACCACGACCGCGGCCTTTGCCTCGATTAGAGAACATGGCAGACTGATCCATCGTAGGTGGAGATGGTGTAGTAGTATCAGAAGTAATACCAGTAGAGACTTGCATGACTCTGGAGAATGTAGCAGTCAGTGAGGGAATTGTATCTCCACCCAATATCTGTCCTCTCACCTGGGACTGTAAAGTTCAACCCAGAAAGAAATTTAGATACTGCCAGATCACGACGATACCCTAATAGCGTCGCTGCATCAGCTACTGCAGGCTGATGCATCTCTAGTTCGTCTATCAGTCCCTTCAATTCACCAAAGAATTCCGGAACTGACTTATCTCCCTGTTTGAGCGCAAACAGTCGTTCATAAATTTCAAATACACGAGAAACATTCTTTTCGTTCCCGTACATAATCTTTAGGCTGTCCCACATCTCCTTCGCAGTGGTTAAAAACATAACGCTGCTACTGATCTGTGCTTCCATACTGTTGAGAAGCCAAGTCATAACACAATAATCAGATGAGAGCCATGAATTGTAGGTGGGATCTGTGGTTGGTGGTGGAGATGCAAGAAGATGTGGTAGTTTGCTCTGAGCGCCAATGAAGATGCGGAAAGCTTATGCCCAGAACAGATAGTTTGCACCATTTAATTTAATAGTAGTCCCCAAGACTACCTTGGGCGCAGAGGTCTCACCAGCAATAATAGGAGTAGTAGAGGAGGAGATATCCGACATCGGAGTAGTAGTCATTTTTTATTTTTGAGCAACAATAGAAGACAAATAGTAGTCAAATAGGCAGATTAGTAGTAGAGATCAATTTTCGAAACATAAACTAAGAGCAGATCAGGAGCAGGATTAGAGGCAGAATGGTAGATAGTCATGCCCTCACGCTGCGTAGGCGAGATCACCTGAGGGAGAGAGCCTTGACTTTTGTTTGCACAAAGGCTCAATTTTTATATTCTTGTTTCTCGAAGGAAACAAGAATAAAAGTGAAATATCTCAACAACGTGAGATAGACACTCTTCCTCTCATCAGTTCTATGACTGAAATGTCGAGGCTTCCTCTCATCAGTTCTATGACTGAAATGTTGAGGGATACAATCGTCCTCTCATCAGTTCGAAGACTGAGATGTCGAGGGAATAGGCAACACGATGTAGGGGGCACTGTAGCACGACACTGTAGCGGCGGTGGTACTGTATCAGCGGGCGGCGGCACTGTAGCAGCAGGCGGCGGCTAGGGTTTTTGAATGAAGATTTGTGACGGCTAGGGTTTCATGCTCTGATACCATGTAGAGAATAGAGAAAACCCTAATTGTTTTATTGAGAATAACAAGAGAGATATATATAGCCATACAAATAGGGTTAAGGTTAACGGGTAACATCCCATTAACCCAATACCCAATATTTAACTTAACACATTTGAATGTGCATCACAAGGTTCACATCCCTGGTTCCTTTTGGCTTTCATCTTTGGCGATGATTTGAGGGTGATGTCTACTTCAATTGTTTGTCTTTTGATTAACTGATCCCTTGGGTTGAAGAAAATTTGTGTTGTGAAAAAGAAGTTTTCTTTTTCTCTTTTGGAACTACGGATGGCGGCAAGTGAAGCATTAGAAACAATGCATTCTTAACCTAGAAAGTCACAGTGGTGAGTTTTCATCTTTCCATAGTTAGATCACCACTCTCAAGTCTCTTGAAAAAAAATCTAACTCCTTTTATTTCCAAATATACTTATTTTGGGACCTATGCAAGAAAAGCAACTTCAAATAATGGAAAATGATTTATTTTTCTCCTTATATTACAGTTACATCATGACATTGAGGTGAAAAAAGAATGTGGAGCCTTTCTTTCACAGAGAATGTTATTTTGCTTTTATAGGTGGAAGTTGTCCTTGGACGAAAGAAGAGATCATGGCTAATGCTCTTTCGGGCTGGTAACTTGGAACTGCATGCCCTGCTTCTCTAACAGTTGCTAGCGTCAATCCCTCATATTCCTCAACATAACCTCCAACCTATAATCAAAGGAACTTGATTATCAGAGCTTTTCATTATATCCAACAAATGCTATCTGTTTTTTTTAATGTTGTTGATAGAGTAAATAAGAATTGTTGAAAGAACTTACTTCCTTGTTGAGATACCATGGTCTCCATGAGTTCTGAAGTGGTAAACCAAGCATTTTGATGGAGTATCTTGTAGATGTGATAGGAACCACACCACCAACATCACCACTACAAAAAATATTTTAATTCTTTAACATGATCCTTTATATCCAGCAGTTAAGTGATAAGTTGATCTGAGCTTGTTAGCTTTGGCGCCAAAATTACCTGTAGAGCCAGAAACTCATGCCACTAATAGTAAGCTCCTTAATGATAGGTAACACTATATCGGGTCTATCAATCCATCCAATGCCACTGGAAGGTGAAAAAGAAAGGAGAGTGATCGAGTTAGGAATAAACCTAATGCGAGTAAAGAAATTAAACATAATGGTTAATTGCGGATAGAGCCTGTACTTCTATTGTTGCAGATAAACCCCCTGAGTGATTTTTACAAAAAAAAAACAAAAAAAAACTCTTTTCAGAGAAAGAGTTTCATTTTTATTTATTTTTTTGACAAATAGACCTCCTGAGGGTAAAAGAGTCAAAACTTTTATTCAGGGGGTCTATCTGCAACAATAGAAGTACATAGGGTCCATCCTTAATTGGACGATAATACACGGGGTCGATCCACAATTAAGCCTAGAAATAATCTACCTGCACCTTTTCCATTCACGTTGCAATTTTGTGACATTTGCATGAAGGGCCTTCTGAACTGCAGGGTTGTTCAGGTACTTGTGTACATAGTCATCTGAACATGGGTCAAAATATTCCATCTGAATACGAAGCGAAAAGGGATGACTAGTTATGAAAACATTATTATAATTATTCTATTTACTGATTATATCTATTTACCGCAACTGCAGATGAAGTTTTTGAACCATCACAAACTGGAGCATATATATTGTAACAATCTATATCCCCATGTTCACTGTCTGCTTTGTCTACAGCATCGACACAGGTATTGGGGTAATCTTGACTGGTAAAATTGCAACTTGAACTGATAATGTTGTACGTCTCATCTGAGATTAGGGCATGGCTCCAAAAGAATGCATATTGTCCCATGTCATTGGAGATTTTATCGATATAAGCATTCCCAATCTGATTGCAACATCATTTTCCAAGCATTAGAAAAAATTTTGGGGTAGATTTGGGATAGATCCCTTGGAGTATCATTGTTTTGAAATTACTAGCCCTCTAGTTTTATCGTGGCAAATAGACCCATTGAATGAAATGTTTCTGATGCTTCATCCACAGAGAGAGAAAATTACTTTTCGACAAATTGACCCATGAGGGAAAAAGAGTCAAAAAATTCACTCAGGGTTCTATCTGTAACAACAAACTTAAAGGGGTAGTAAGTTAAAAACAATCAAACTCCAGGGAGTCTATCTGCTAGTAACCCCAAATATATATGACTTATCCTAACAAATTCAACAATTTACTTACAGTGACACCACAAAGGTTGATGACAGTCTGATTGGTGATCTTGTTATTCTGCAGGATAAGCTGTGCAAGTTCAGGAATGTAATGGCCTGCATAGCTCTCTCCTGTAATAAAGAAATCACTGGTTTTATACTCTGGGAATCTCTCCAGCCAGTTCATCAAGAATGCATAGTTATCTGCTGCAGTTCTCTTATCTTCATTCTGAGAAATGTCTGAACTTGTGTTTGAATAAGAGAACCCAACTCCTGTTGGTGACTCCAGAAACAAAACATTTGCCACTGAGAAGAAGAAAGAACTCAAGAAGTAAGTACTTAGATTGAAATAAATATACAGAATCCATTCTTCAGACATTTCCTCCAAGGGTGGATTGCAGATAGACCCTCTGGGTTCTATTGTTATGGATAGACCCTCCGAGTGAATTTCTCTGACTCTGTTACCCTCAGAGAAATAGAATTGTTTTTTGACGAATATACCTCCTCAGGGTGAAAGAGTCATGGGTCTATCCGTAATTAGGTGATAGTACAGGGAGTCTGTCAGCAATTAACTCTTTCTCCAATTTTTTCACCATTGTTCCATGCATAGTAATTTCTGCTAAGTGTTTCGCCGTTGCTATTTACCCTGAAGGGTCGTACTTCCTCCATGGCTCCGTAACCCAAAGAGGAGCATCCAGGTCCTTGATCAAGGAAAAATACAATATATAATTGGAATATTTCAGAGACAATTACAACCATTATCCAATAATAGACAACAGAATATTCTAAAGGGGTCATCAAGAAGATTACAACAGAGAATAAGACATTGGTCAAATAGCACTAATCATAGCCTATAGATATTACTAGCCAAATTTGTTTTATGTATGACAGAAAAGAAAGAAAATTGAAGAAGAGTATGTTTCTTCATAGTGCTTTGTTTGTGTACCTTGTTTCATTTTTGGGAAAATTGCTTGGAGGAACTAAATTTAATTGGGTCATGCATCCCCACCCCGCAACTAGAGTCAACCACTTGTAAGCACCTTCACCCAAGTTTTCATGCTTTTACACCCCAAATCCAACATTATATATGTACTTTATAATGTATTTTTTAGCATTGCTCATTTTACCCTTTGTACTCATTTCAGATTGGGGGTGTGTAGGCTAGAGAGGTTTTTTGTCTTATTGGCCAGCAAAGCAAGCCATCATCAAGTCGGAAGTCACTTCCGCTCGGGGGTGTACGCTGGAGAGGTTTTATGGAGGGAAAAGGGAAAATTGGAGGGAAAAATCTACTAAGTTCCCTCCAAAATAATGCATGCCTCATATCAATGTAATATATACTCTTCTCTCTTTAGATCTACTCCTAAGACCTTCAACAACCTTCAACAACCATTTATATTCTTAACTTTTTACTCTTAATTTCTTCAACAACCAAAATAGAAGATTCTTTAATGTGTGTGATTTTATTTAACAGTAAAACAACCCTCATTAAAGTCAATTCGGCAACAAGTTTAGCTAAATTGAAGATGCAAGCTGCAGAGAATTTTAGAGTACCATACGAAAGCTTGTTGATAAGTTACTCTATCGAGAAGTTTCCCAATGTCTCGTTTGAGTTTTCAAAAGATAAAGATATTCTCAACATGATAGATTATCATCGTTCAATGGGGTTAAATACGGTAACCATGACTATTACTAAAAGAGATGAAGGACCCACCCATGCCATAGGGACAGAAACAGAGCTTAAGTAAGTATTTAAAAGTATATTTTCAGGTTTTGGATACACGTGATATATTACGTCATATATGTGACCTGAAGACATCCAACGTAATATATTGACTTTATTTGTGACATATTGACTTTATTTGTGATATGTATGTCTTATATGTGCTGGTAAGTATTACACATGACCTATATGTGACCTTTACATTCAACTTGCAGTGTTTCTAATGTAAGCTCACAGTCATCAGAGCATATCGAGGAACCTTATGAGAGGATCACAATCGAGGAATCAGAGAGGATCCCAAACAACAACCCTCAAGGAGAGCATGTGTGGATGATGAACGACGTAGTAAGTGACTCATCACAGATCCCAGCATGGTGGCACGAGGTAATTACTGGAAAAGTGCAGCAATTTAAAAGTGCAAAAGAAGTTAGAATGGTTCTTATATACTACTCTATAGATAAGAAGTTTGCTTTTAAATATGTTAACAATGAGCCAAAACGTATTCGTGCTATTTGCATGTTCAGAAAAGAAACAAAATGCCCGTGGTTGCTTTTCGCTTCACCATTAAGCCATGTGTCGACCTTTGCTATAAAAAATTTTGTTCCTCAACATGCATGTGGACAACATAACAGCACAGCTGGTCACTTCAGAGCATCAAGAAGGTGGATTTCGAATATGCTATAATCAATTATGACTTTTGAGTGTTACATGTGATAGTTAGATCTTGTTCATCATTTAACAAGTTATTTGTGATTTAACCAATATTTTTAGGTACCAAATAAAGGTGATGGAAACAAACCCAGGCAGTGTCTTCACCATTGAACAAGAAGATGGGAGATTCAAATATTTATTTGTGTTGTATGGTGCATGCATACAGGGGTTTCTCAAGGGATGTAGGCCATTGCTCTTTTTAGATGAGACTTTTCTGAAGAATCGTTACAAAGGGATCTTATTAGGTGTGACTGCTTATGATGGTAATCAAGGCATATTTTCACACACATTTTGCGTTTGTGACCAAGAAAATGAAGCAAATTAGAGTTGGTTTATTCATTGATTGTGGTATATTTTGTACAATCGAACATAACCATACAATCTACCCCATCCTCTAGTAATTTTGTCAGATACCGACAAAGGAATAAAACAATCTTTAAAAGATATATTTCTAGATACGTACCACTCTGGATGTGTACTTCATATTGTTGAGAATTATAAATTAAAGCTTAAAGAGATGGATTTTGCCTTAAGTGCTGCTTAACGTATTTTAAAATTGTTAGAGTTTGCTGCATACAAGTACACGGAAAGAGAATTTAAAGTTGTTTTACATCAGATTAGGATGATAGATCAAAGAGCATTCCAAGTAGCTCTAAGTTATGGTCCAAGTACTTGGGCGAATTCTGTATTTCCTGGTATAAGGTACGCCAAATATCATTACCATTACTTGTGACATTATGCTTTTATATGAATTTGAGTCTTTAAATGTCACATTTTGCTTTTATATGCGACGTTCGTCTGTTACGTATGACCTTTACTTGTCTCGTGTGACACTACGCCATTACATGTGACACTTAGCGGTGACCTGTGATCATTTGTTGTTGGGTGTGACATTTGTTATTTATATGTGACACATGACTGTAATTTGTGATAGTGAATTTTTGTTTGATTCATAGATATGATCATATCACTTTCAATGTTGATGAATCTTTCAACAGTTGGATTCGTGTGGCGAGAACACTTCCCATTTGCGATATGATGGATCACATTCGTGTGTAAATTATGGAAAGGATGAATACTCGCCGCGAGATGACAACAAAATGAAATAGCTATCTATGTCCTAAAGTGGAAAAAATCCTCCAAGAAAATGTCACCAAGGGAAGCACTCTTGAAGTATCGCATTCTACAGCTGAAATCTTGGAGGTATCATCACAAAAATCAGTACAAATTGATTTGGAACACAAAACATGCATGTGTCATGCATGGGATATATTGCGAATACCATGTAAATATGTGTGTGCTGCTATTAACTTTATGCATAGAGATGTGTACCAGTTTTGCGATTGGTTCATGGTGACTGAAGCTTTCAAGAAAAGTTACGAACCAATTCTCTTTCATGTTCCAACTTACGTAAGCCAGATGTTACTAATGAAACAGTTAGTATTCTTCCCTTAAAGACGACAAAGAGACGTGGAAGGAACAAGAATAGACGTATCAACAACAGATCTGAGAATAGACGTGCATATTTCAGTTATGGAGGCGGGTCCATTGACACGTGATGTTCTTTATGACCAAGAGCGCCACCGATCCGCAAAGATAGATGCTGGGGAGGTAAAGTGCAATTTTATTATTTTCAATTATATATAAATTTCAATGTAGTTGATTGTTACTCCAACTTACGTAAGCCAGATGTTACTAATGAAACAGTTAGTATTCTTCCCTTAAAGACGACAAAGAGACGTGGAAGGAACAAGAATAGACGTATCAACAACAGATCTGAGAATAGACGTGCAATTCGATGCTCAAGATGTCACACTGAAGGATATAACCGAGTCATGTGCACTAAACCTATCCAAGATTAACGTTTCCTGGCAGAATACAAGCTCTTTTGTGACTGTAGTCTGTTACATGTTACTTTTGTCATTTTGTTGTGACATTTACTACTTATATGTGACGTATTACATGTTCGTGTTACTTTTATCATTTTGTTGTGATATTTACTACTTATATGTGACGTATCACCTGTTCGTGTGATGTATTACCTATTCAGATTTAATATGTTAAAGAAAAGATCACCAAGAAATTTAAAAAAAAACTAGTAAACTGGTTATCATTTACAAACAACGTTTAAACATCCAGCATTCATCACATAACATCCAACAAATGAAACAATTACATGTAGAGTCTAATATTTCCACTCAATCATAGGTACATCACTACCCCGAAGTACAAAAGATATTCTGGATCATCACTATCTAATTTCAATCGTAGCTTTTTTTATTCACGACCTTCACATATGATTTGAGCAACAAGTCCTGCTCGTAGCATATGTGACTCCCTGTGCAAGGCTTCAATGTTCATTACCTCCCTTCTCTCGAGGATCGCCTTGATAAAAAAATACGCATGTATGTCACAATCATATCTGTAAAAATATAACATAATACTTAATAACAGGATATGTAACTGGTAACAAGAATATAACACAGAGAATGTAAAAATATCATATAACAGCATCATACGTCACACAGAATATCAAAATGTCACATAAATACAACATAAATCACACAGAATACTAAACTGTTCCATAACATCCCTAAAAGTCACACAGTATACCAAAATGTCACATAAGGATGTGAATATATCACCCACAATGTCACTAACCCATGCAAGTATCACATGTATTAATAAATTGTTTAAGTATAAGAAACTTGCGAGCTTTTTTGCGCTCGACAAGGAATTGCTTCATATTCTAATGCTCTGAATGTCGACGTCTGATCATATCCACTCACCATCCTATCTAAAAATAGTTGGATGGTCAACACGTCTCTAGCTCATGCCTCGTGGTCAGCGGAGCTGTAATGTCTGCATTTTTGGCCCCAAATTAACCTCAAAGACATGCCAATGATCAGCGTGACATATCGGAATTATCAACACATCATTGCCTTCATCTATATGCTTCTTTATATAATTTTTATAGATATTTCGCTCATCCAAATTTGAAGCAGTTAGCAATCAAATCCGTCGAAAAAAGAAAAGAAAGTAAGCGGAAGAAAGTCAAATAACATATAAATGCAATATAACTCAAATTGTATTATGACCGACATTACTCATACTAAAATACGACGTGACAATAGCAAATTTTCTTTCCACATGGGCATTTTCTGATAGCTTGAACCATTTTCGAAGTCTTGCAACTATTGCTTCAACGGTCTAATGATTGCAAATGTAATAAATCATGTAAATGTCAAAAACTTGAGTAACACTGTAACTTAAATAAAAACTAACCTCATCCTTTAATCTTCCAGTTCCACCACGTAAAAGATGAAGCATATCATATATGCATATAGTTTGGTCTTCAACCTCAAAAACAGTCATCCTCCTACAAAATGTAGAAGACAATCAATGTATAAACGACATATTCAAATCAACACCAAAATATCACAGGAAAACACTAAATGTCACATACAAACAGTAATGATCATATTTTGCGTGTGTATGTCACAAACTTAATGTAACTATCACAGACCAAATATAAATATCACAGAATAACACTTAATACTTGTCAACTTTTAATATACGAAAATATTGAAGCTACTTGTTTTCTGAAGCCACTTGTTTTCATCATCCGATACATCGGAAACGTCATGAATAGTAAAATTATGGTAAAATCCTTCGTTGATTGTTACCGGTAGCCTAATATCAAAGTCTTGTAAAGAATGAATGCTCATATTCAATATCCCCAATAATTTTTTCTCTTCGGTTTTTTCCCTTCTCTATAATTCTGGCACGGATGTTCTCATATCCAGGTGTGAAATTACAAGTGGCTTCTCCTCATCCGTCTCCCCCTTGTCGTCGTCATCTTTCACCACAACGATACTAGTCTTTCCTTTCCTTTTTTTCTTAGACATTTCTGTTTGGAAGGGAGATTCTAAGAACTTGGGCTTCTTTGTTGTTCTTTGGCTCTTTGCCCGTAACCCTTGAACAAATTCTTTCAAAGTATCATCACTTTCCTCCCTTCTCTTCCTTCCCTTCTTCTTTTTGGGAACTTTCTCAGCTACTTTCACCTCTTTAGGCTGTATAAAGATCACAGTTAATGAATATATATCACAAAAATAGGATATGAATTTATATCACATGAGAAATTTATTTATCACAAATAATAAGCGAACATCACAAATAAACTGTTTACATCACAATATAGACAAAATGGCACAATATACATATGAATGTCACAAAAGGTAGACAATTGTCACAAATAACAGGGAACTATCACAAATAAGGTGTAAATATCACAGGAGAGTTACCCCCCGAAGTTCAATGCCCATGTCTTGGGTTTGATCACCTTCTTTCTTTGCCTCATCTTCATTCCCTTCTTCTTTCTCTGCCTCATCTTTTCTCTCTATTTAAGGCTGCATAAATGTCAAAACAATAACCAATTTATGTTCAACAAATCTTTTCTCAATATCTTTTTTCCTCATGTGAAACAAGGAAATAAGTTATTACCTCTTCTTTCTTTTGCCTGATATGTTTCTGTTCTGTAAATCTTTTTTTCAGTTTCGACCTTAATGGCCATCGTATCAACGCCGCGAGCAATAAGTTCTTGCTCATAGGCTTCATTCAACATCCAACTTTTCATAAGCTTCATTCTACATTAACAATAAACTAATAGTGAGGAAATATCACAAATAAGAAGATCACACATAATGTCATCAACAGTATCTATTTTTTAACTATTTTCTTCCTCAAAGGTTTTTCAGCCGTAACTTCCTCCTCTATTTTAGCCTTCATCTTTGTAGGCTTTGGCTTTATCTCCTCATGGACATACATCGGCATATCTTGCTCCGGTAAGATGTGGTTCGTAGCTTCTGATTTCTTCATTATCGTTGTAGTCTGCAACGAACCCATCTTCTTACCCTCCAACGTCCAATTTGTCATTGGTGGTTTGGATTCATCTACTCTTTTCGGCTCCTTGATGTTTAAAATCTCATAGTACCATAGCTTCAAAAAAGCCACATTCAAACAATAAAGTATAACATATTAGATACAAATGTCACACATGGGTCACAAACGTCACATATCATTAGAATATATCACATGTAGAAGACACTTATCACATAAACACATATTAACTATAAATATCATAATTAAACAATGAATAGCAGTGACAAATGTCATATATTAATGTGATATATCACATTTAAATGGCAAAAATCACATATAACAAGATAATATCACATACAAACTACAAATAAATAGTAAACTTAAATAATACAAATTAGATACAATTGTCACATATAAGTGTCATATATCACATGTAAAAGGTAATGATCACAGATAAGATGCAAATGCAACATATTACTTACAAATAACATATATAATTCACCGATAGCAAGGGCGCGCAGCCGCTAAGATATGCCTGTCCTTTCTTCGCTATCTTCGTAGCCTTGAAAGAGTCCCACAATTCCTTGTAGATAATCGTCGTCCATGGAAAATGATCCACCATATCTATCCGAGCCATATATTTGAACATATGTCGCGATGCATTCATTCTCACTATCGGAGTTCATATCATTGTGAGTTGGTAGAGGATTTGAAGCATAACAAAATTTAAAACATCCGTCCTCTTTTTTGACTTAACCAATTTTTCCAATAGGACCTCAAAGTAGTCTCGACCACTCTTGTATTGTGATTGTTGCTTCTTGTTGAAGTATGTGGTCCATATCTTATTCTTCGTATTGCGATTGCCTTCGGGTTTCTTCCCTTCATCATTAAACCGAGTATGTTTAAGCACCTAATTTACATCAAATGTGTACGCTTGTTTAGTCCCAGTTTGGCTATCCTTAAAAAAAAACTTTCCCGTGGCTAAATCCAGATGATCTAGCAGCAACATGATCGTGGCCTTGTCCGATGGAATTGCTCCAAAACTAACATAGTTTTTGAAATTGGAGACTCCATAAGCATTTCAATGTTCAGCCCTCATACGTGGAACAATTCCATCCATAAATTGATAATATCCACGTATATTGTAACAAATTCTGATATCATGCTTACTGTAAAACACAACACAAGAGATACTACATCAACTTAGGGTTCTAATGCAGATAAATTCACAATGTCAAACAAATTAAATCAACAAATGTGAATAATTGGGTTGATACTTACATCTCAGGCTTTATTGTAGCTGATTCAGATGACTGAGAAGATGAATTCGTCATCCTGTATTTTCAGCAGTGAGTGTCACTGTTCGGTAAAAAACGACTCCAGCAACGAGCTTACGGTCGGGGCGGGGGGGGCTTGTCGGTGGACGAGAGTCGACGAAGACGGTTCAAAGGTGAGTCGCCGAAGACGAAAACGACGAGCGACAGCGGTCCGGTCTTTGACGAAGACGACGAAGACGGTTCAAAGGTGAGTCGCCGAAGACGAAGACGACGAGCGGCGACTGTCTTGAGAGGAAGAGGATTTCGAAGAAGACAACGAGCGGTGGTGGTCTTCGACGAAGACGAAGTCAAAGAGTTGTCGGCGGCGACGGCCTTAAGAGAAAGAGGGTTTCGAAAGGGAAGAGGGTCTCGAAATCGGTAACAGCGTTCAGAAAGGGATGGTGGTTTAAATTGGGAAGGGTAATTTGGGGATACTTTTTGGGGTAGTGTGTTTGTACTCTGTTTGGGGGCTTGTTGCATTTTTTCTGTATAAGGGCTTTTTGGTTATGGTTCTTGGGATTCGGGTGGGGATGCATGACCCAATTAAATTTAGTTCCTCCAAGTAATTTTTCCTTCATTTTTTGATCAATAATTACCTCCATTGAGCCATAACATAAGAGGCATGCTAGAAGAATTCTGAGGAGACTCCACAAAATAATAGAACAATGCTCTTCCATGCTTAGGATCAACAGTGACATAACCTGCGTACTGATCGAAGTCTACACCTTTTGGTTGCCCTGGCAACTCTTCAATCTTATCTGTTTCCATCATACCAGCTTGAGGTCCAATGTAGACCGGAGAAAAGGACTTGGTAGATAACATCTCTTGCAATGAATCATATGACGAAGAAGTCGATGATCTCTTTGATTTAATGAGAGTTGATGATCTCTTTGTTTTAATGAGCTCTTGTAGTTTGTTTGCTTGTTGGCTTCATTGATATTGAGAAGAAGAAAGATGCAGTAGAAGACTATAAACAAGGAGAAGGTCTTCATTCTCTCTTTTGTTAGTTTGGAGTTTTTGTTAGAGTGTTTGGGCTTTATATAGAGTTTATACGTGAAGAATGAACAATAGAACCGTATGTAGAAGGGGAATTAGAAATTTTAATCATAAAACAGTGACTTGGTAAGCACAGCATGTTATATTGGTTCTTATGTGTGTGTTTAGTGGATGGAGTGTATTGATGTTTTCGGTGGTCTACTTGACTTAGATTCGTGTGGGTACAATGGAAAACTATTTGATACCCAATGCTATTGGAATGTTACCTAATTATATACTAATTTATGGGTCCTATTCATCCGACCAAGTTGATCAAATTTTTTATACAACTTCTTACTAGTCGAGTTGTGTAAGAAATTTAAGTGCGAGGTTACTCCTAAATAATTCTTACTTGTATTACAAATTAAATATTTAACATAAATCAAGAAAGGTATCCAATGTATGGCATGGTTTATCTATGTCACGTCTTGCGCCTACGGGCTCGTTGGCGCGTGCAAGCTGTAGGTCTACGGAGAGCAACTCGTTAGTTGGCTAAATCCACCGCCAAAATGCTAGCACTAGTTGTTTTTGGACTTTGGGCTTTTCTATTTGAGTCACTAACATTTCTTCACACTAGTTCATGTGAGACTAAAGTGGAGGTGTCACAATCACCCCACTTTACAAAGACGACGTTCTCATCGTCACAACATGACAATTGGCACATCTCAGTATTACTGCCAGGTGATGTGGACTCTAGAGGTGATTCCCATCACATCCACACAGTGTAGCACTTAGTCCCGTATAGCACTTAGCTCCAGACTTCTGGCTGGTAACTGTTCTGATACCATTTGTCACACCTTGGGTCTACGGGCCCGTTGGCGCATGCAAGTCTTGGGTCCACGGAGAACAACTCGTGGGTTGACTAAATCCACCGTCAAAATGCTAGTACTAGTTGTTTTTAGGCCTTGGGCTTCTCTATTTAAGCCACTAACATTTCTTTCTTCATACTAGTCCATGTGAAACTAAAGTGGAGATGTCACAATCTATATAAGAGATAATAATTAGATTGGTAATTTAACCAAAATACCTGAGCTAGAAGAAGTTATACATATATTATAAAGATACTCATGAAATAATCTTTTTTTTTAAATAGTAACTATTCTAAATTTTACTTCGAACAAAATTAACTGACAGAAAACTATGAGCATATTCCAACTATCACCTATATATTCCGACTATCACCTATATAGTAGTACAAAATTTTCAACATAAAGTATGCGCTTGAAAGGGTTAGCTAGAGTGCCCCCCCTGACCTGTCACTTTTAGGTGGTTTACTTTCATGTTCATTACTTCCATAAGCGTGACTTGATCAGCCCTTGATCATAAGGCATAGTTTCCTTTTTCCTGTATACTGTTTTTTTTTTTTTTCCAGTAGAACATTCAGGTGTCCTCAATCTAGGGAGGGACGGAGGGAGGGAGGGAGCGCCATAGTAGGAAAAATGCTTACATTTAAGGTGCAGAATATTACGATGACATGAAATATTTCAAGCTTCTGTAGTAAAAGATACAGATGAACTGTAATGATAATTTCACAACCAAAGTAGTCCATGTCTTAAACATCTATCGTTTTGCAAAGTGTCCGATGAACCCATCGCACATTTATAATCTAAGATGTCATAGTTTCCTTTTTACTGTATAATTTCCTTTTTTCATAAAACATTCAAGTTTTATATCTGGTGTCCTCAACCTTCAGAGGGAGGGAGCATGCACTGCTAGGAATTTTCTGGAAAGAGGGAGGAAAACAGTGCAGATTGTTCACATATCTATAGTGTAGAATATTTCAAGCTTCCATAGTAAAAGATGCATTGGGAAGATTGGCGGCAACGATACCAAGTAGTTCATCATATCTCATAGCATCTATCATTTTGCACAGTACCAGATCAACCCACTACTATATACATATTCATATCACCAAAGAACAGTCTATTTCTGAATAGTTCCCTTGAAAACAAACTGATCTTAGATATACTTTTTGTCCATCAATATTTCTGGTTTTTGGTCAATCTTTCTGTAGTCTTTCCCTGTTAGTATTGTATCTAAATTTTACCAACAAGTTAAGCGAACAAATGTTCTATAATAAATATTTGAAACAGCAATTCTCCAACTAGTGTTGTTCATTATTACAAAACCACATAGTGTTGGTCGTTATAACTGGTATGGATGAGTAAACTTAAAGTACCAGGTTAAATAAGACTATGAAGAAGAAGAGGCGTTCATGTGTTTTTACTTGTTTTCTGACAAGAAGAATTGTATCTTGCGATTTCATAGCCTACCAGTTGAATTTTAAGATTTAACTGAACCCGTTTCTTCCAGAAGTTCTTTGAAAACGTTTTTTAGTGCTTGGACAATTGAGGTAAGAAAATTCCTTCTCAGGAAACTGGTTCTTCAAAAGTTAAACTAGAGAACAAGAAATCAAGAGGGCTGGATGAACTGATTGATACAGATGCATGGAGACAAAACAACTGGCTTCTTGCTGTCTCCGTCCATCCATCATTAGCAGAAATGATGTAGAGGTAAATTCTTTTGCCCTAGTTTTCCGTTGAGGGGCTGTTTGGTTTGCCCAAAAATTGTGGAAAATGAAGGAAAAAGAAAGAAAATGGAGAAAAAGTACTACTTGTTGTAAGTTTTTCTTAACATTTTTCTTTTCTTTGTTTGGTTCACATCTTGGAACCAAGAAAAATGATGATGTGCTGAATTCTTATTGGTTGATGTGACTCACATTTTAGGACACCCATTTCATGGTTTTTATTGAGGAAATTGGAGGAAAATTTGTTTGATGTTTTTCCCATCTTCTTCAGTTTTCTTTGATTTGAAGGAAAACAACCAAACAGGCCCTGAACAGATGCGTTAAGTACATCAATAGTCTTTAGTACCGAATAGAAGCTGATTCAACTAAGTTAGGGAGTCATATTCTCTTTTAGATTCCAATTGTGAGTCTCTCTTTCTTGTTTTATTTACTATGAAATATATTGGATGCTAGTTAACCTGTTATGGTAGTCAGAAGAGGTGGTTAATACCTTGGCATTCCTTTGTTGTTTAGATTTTTAGAGTAATTATTATGAAATGTGCATGGATTATGAAAGAAAGATGCTACACCTTTTGGCATCTCATAGGTTATATATTTCACATGATATGGTGGTTATGCTAGAGAATCAAATGTTATTTTTTTCACAAAGCTTATGATAGAGAGCGTATATTTTTTGATAGCTGCCCTCCCATGTGTTAGTTGGTGTCTCCCATTTGCAGTTTAGGTGATAGGGTTGTAGGACATGTTCAATGATCGAGTATAACTAGAACACTGAGAATAGTACTATATGATTGTCCAAGTATCTGATTGTGCCGTTGTAGTCAGTTGAGTCTTTCATGCTTTGAAATTACAGATTTGAATTAATTATAGAGTAAATAACTTAACACATGAAAGAAGAAGATAAAATCTAGCCAATGTCCGTAAGATAAAGACTAGAAGGATATCTTTACTAAAATATAGAGTACAAGAGACCATTGTCCTTCCTCACAATTCTAACGCAGGATCTTGAGAACATCATTCTTGCCTCTAAACTATGACAATTAATTACATGGATGGAAGTGAGTTACTCCTATGGAACTCCATCTAAGCTTTGCCTTTGGTGAACACCTGTACTCTTTGATGGGTTGTGTCTTCCTGATTTTAATCATGATATGAACCATGACTAGGGTCATTTTCAAGCAGGATCAATAATGGGTTAATGTTAGGAACCATATGAAAGTGCATCACAAGATTCATGACCTCGGTTTCTTTTGGCTTTTCTTCTTTGTAAAAAAGTTGGGGGATGGAATGTCTAAATGATTTTTTTTTTTTTTTTTGAGTAACTGATTCCTTGGTATGTCGAAGATATACAATCCCACAGCATGAGTAGGTGTATTATGAAACTTATGGAGAGTTAAGAGTCCTCTCCATGCTGTTGGTGATTATTGCCAGTTTGGAGTTGGGTGAATAGCACTGATCTTGAGATTTTCTTATTCCAAACCTCTCTCTTTTTGGAACTAAGAAACAATGCATTTTGAACCAAGAAAGTTACAGAGGTGAGTTTCCATCGTTAGTTCACCACTCATGTCTCTTTTAGAGTCTTTGTCCAAGACCACTAGTTATCGGGTCATCGGTAATAATAAGCTTGTAGGTTTCTCAAGTTGTTTAGTGGAGACCCAAATTTTTGGACAGAGTGATAGTGGAATGTTCATGGCTACAAATAATATGTTAGGTCCAAATATCCTTCCTATCTTCCCCCTTTTTGTTTTTTATTCTGATTTAATAATAAATTTGTAAGGTTGTGTTGATTAAGAGGTTTCTTTAGTTGTCTGATCAATGATCGGCGGTTACTCCTTGCTCCACATGATTATATAGTAATGCTAGGTTCCAGGTTAGAAATGGAGATAACTAGTACTTGACAGAAACGACCTATTTAAGAAAAGAAACAACTTCAAATAAATGACAAATGATTTATTTTTCTCCTTACGCTTCAATTTAAACCACGATAGATATCGAGGAAAAATATATTGGAGCCTTTCTTTCACAGAGACTGTTATTTTGCTTTTCTAGGTAGAAGTTGTCCTTGGAGGAATGAAGAGATCATGACTAATGCTCTTTCGGGCTGGTAACTTGGAACCGTATGCCCCGCTCCTCTAACAGTTGCTAGCGTCAATCCATCATATTCCTCAACATAACCTCCGACCTGCAACAACAGTAACTTAAATGAACTTTTTATTATATCCAACAAATGCTTCTTTTCTTATTTTCAGATAATGGGGTTGCTCATAAACTCAGTCTCCCTAATATTTTAGCACTGTGATTAAAGTAAATTAGGATATGTCACTGAAATATGTTACCTCTTTGTTGACGTACCATGGGCGCCATGAATTCTTAATTGGCAACCCAAGCATTTTGATGGAGTACCTTGTAGACGTTATAGGAACCACACTATCAATGTCACCGCTGCAAAATGTTTTTATTCTTTGTCTTGAGCCTTTGTAAGTGTTTACTTTGATTTTGTTTGTCAACTTTCGCACTAAAATTACCTGTAGAGCCAGAAACTAATGCCGCTAGTAGTAAGCTCCTTAATGATAGGTAACACTGTATCAGGCCAATCAGTCCATCCAATGTCACTTGAAGATAAAGAAAAACCAAATAATTTAAGAGAGTATTAATATTTATATCAAACCTAACTTGAGTGAAGAAATAAACGATAATTCTACCTGCAGCCTTCCCAATCATGTGGCAATTTTGTCACATTTGCATGAAGGGCTTTCTGAACTTCAGGATTGTTTAAGTAAGCATATACATAATTATCTGAACAAGGATCAAAATCTGCCATCTGAAAACAAAGCGAGAAGTTATAAATGACCAAAGTATTATTACTTATTATTAGTTACATTTATTTATTTACCGCAACCCCTGATGAGCTGTTTGAACCATCACAAAGTGGAGCATATATATTGTAACTATCTATATCTCCTGATTCTCCGTTTGCTCTGTCCATTGCTTCACTACAAATAAGAGAGTAATCTTGACCGGTAAAATTGCAACTTGAATTGAGATTGTTGTAAGTCTCGTCTGAGATTAGAGCGTGGCTCCAATAAAATGCATATAGTCCTATTTCATTAGACATTTCGTCGATATAAGCATTCCCGATCTGATTACGACATCATTTTCCAGTCATTACGATTTTTCAAGCAGATATAGAACTTGTTCTAAGAAATCAACAATATACTTACAGCAACACCTCGAAGGTTGATAACAGTTTGATTGGTGATCTTGTTGTTTTGTAGGATAAGAGATGCAAGTTCTGGAATATAATGGCCTGCATAGCTCTCTCCTGCAATGAAGAAATCACGAGTTTTATACTGTGGGAATCTCTCCAGCCAGTTTATAAGGAACACATAGTTATCTGCTGCAGTTCTCTTATCTCCATTCTGAGAAATATCTGAACTTGTGTTTGAATAAGAGAACCCGACGCCGGCTGGTGACTCCAGAAACAAAATATTTGCCACTGACAGGAGGAAAGAAGTAAGTATTGCATTGAAAAGAAATAAATAGAATCCAATTTCAGACATTTTCTCCAAGGATTTATAGCGGATAGACCCCCTATGTTATAGCCAGATTGCGGATAGAACCTTTGTAGTTCTATTGTTGTAGATAGACCCCTGATTGAGAAATTTGTTTTTTTAACTAATAGACCTCTTGAGGGTGAGAGAGTAATAAAAAAAATTGTCTGCAAAAATAGAACGAGGGGTCTATACGTAATTAGGTGTATATAGTATGGGGGTTTACCCTCAATTAACCGTTTTTCCAGTTATCTCACCATTGTTCCATGCATAGTAATTTCTGGTGAGCGTTTCGCCATCGCTGTTTACTCTGAAGGGTCCTACTTCCTCCATAGCTCCATATCCTAAAGAGGAGCACCCAGGTCCTTGATCAGGAAAAAGACAATATTTAGTTAGAATATTTCAGAGACAATGACAACCATTATCCAATAATATGCAAAAAAGAATATTCTAAAGTGGACACCGAGAAGATCACATCAAAGAATAAGACATTGGTCAAATATATGGAACTAATGGTAACTTATAGATAGTACTAACCATATTTGTTTTGTGTATGACAGCAAAGAAAGAAAACATTGAGAAAACAGAAGCAATATGTTTTCATGTATCATTTTCCATTATATGTTCGATAATTACCTCCATTGAGCCATAAAACAAGAGGTTTGCTAGAAGAATTCTGAGGAGATTCCGCAAAATAATAAAACAGTGCTCTTCCATGCTTAGGATCGACAGTTACATAACCTGCATACTGATCGAAATCCACACCCTTTGGTTGCCCTGGCAACTCCTCAACCTTCTCTGTTTCCTTCATACCAGCTTGAGGGCTGACGTAGACCGGAGAAAAGGACTTGGTAGATAATATCTCTCGCAATGAATCGTCTGAAGAAGAACTCGACGATCTCTTTGATTTAATGAGCTCTCGTAGTTTGCTTGCTTGGTTGGCTTCATTGATACTGGGAAGAAGGATACAGAAGACTATAAACAAGGAGGAGGAGGAGGTCTTCATACTTCTCTTTTGTTAGTTTGGGATTTTGAGTGGAGTGTTTGGGCTTTATATAGTGTTGTATGTGAAGGATGGACAATAGAATTGTATGTAGAAGGGGGAAGTAGAAAAATTGAATGATCATAAAAAAAATAATCTATGAGTTGGTATCCTTTGCATGTTGTGTGTGTATGTGTGTGTGTGTGTGTGAGAGAGAGAGAGAGATCGGTGGTCTGCTTGATTAGATTAGAATGATGTGGGTGCAATGGATAATTATTTGATCCCCAATGCTATTGGAATGTTACCTAATGATTATTATATTAATTTATGGGTCCAATACTTCAATACGTCCAACCAAGATGATGCAGATATTTTATGCACCTTCTTAGGGCGCGTTTGGTTCTGTTTTGTTTTGTTTTTTGTTTTTTTGTTGGGGGAGCTGACACTTTGGCAGCTCCCCCTTCCAAAAAAAAAACCGAACCAAACAGCCCCTAATAGCCGAGTTGTGTGCCTGAAAAAAAAAAATACTTCATTTGTCAGTAGTGAAATAGAACTTGTATTGTATGACTATGGTAACGATGACTAATTAACAAGACATGTTACTCTTTTAAAAGAGCAATTTAATTCCTTTACACAAGGAGCAAGGTATGAGGTTAATCCAAAATAAATACTTACCTATATTTAAAAAATTCGTATTTAACATAAATCGAGAAAATTATTCAAGTGCTAGAATATGGCATGGTGCAAATACAAGACATAAAAAATTTAAATTGCTAACTTAAGCTAGAAGGAATTATACATATATTATGAAGATGCTCGTGAATTAACACTGTTATTTTTTTAAGATACTCTTCTAAATTTTAATAATTGGAAAAGGATCGAGTGACAGAACATTGTATGTTCTAACTATTGCTTATATATTATTATTAGTGCATAATTTTAACATAAGTTAACGCACTTGAAAGGGGTTACCTGAAGGGCCCCCTTGACCTCACACCGGCCGGCTCTAACTGTTAAGGGACAAATTTTCAAAACCGACCCTTTTGGGTTTTTAATTGCAAAAAACGACCGGTTTTAAAAATATTTATAAAAACCGACCTATTTAGCATAAAACAGGTCGGTTTTTTTAAATTTTTTTGGGAAACTTCACGGGAGTTGAACTCCCGTGAAGTTTTTCTCATAACAAAACTTCACGGGAGTTGAACTCCCGTGAAGTTTGGAAGAAAAAATTTGTAATTTTGAGGTCAAATAATAATTATGATTAGACTAAAGTTGATGTGTTTAGTGAGGTGCAGTTTGAATCCTTATGTTTTTTCAACTTATCAAAATTTTTAAGTTTAGGAGTCGGAACAGTATGATGTTACAAGATTATTCTAACGAAAGTGGAAGGTATATACATAAAAAATCTAATCAAAACATATGTCTGTAAGTGTTTTTTTGTTTAATTTTTGTCCCAAATTCCTAAACCAATTATGTAGAAGGATGTTCATATATTTCCGTTTCCAACAACAGTATACGGAAATAGTAGGAATCGTGAAGTCACCATGCGAAATTGGAGTTGTTAGTACGTATCTCCGAGATAATTGTGTAACAATAGAAGCATTCAACACCGTTACATATAGAACAAAAGAAGAAAAATAAAAAGATAAAAAATAAAAAAATCACAAAGTATGTGATAATCGTATAACAATGGAAACATTAAACTCCACTACATATATTTTATCAAAAAAAAAAACCCATCACAAATAGCACCAAGAAGGGGGAAAAAATCTAATCAAATCACAACACTCTACCCTCATAATTGACCCAGTACAACAGATAGCATTAATCTTAAATTTCACCAAAGGCGGTATTGATATTTCATGCAGATATCTTTAAATTTCATGCCTCGTATCACCTTGCAGCGAAAAAAAAAAATCTTCTGCTAAATGGAGTTTATACATGCGGACAAATTTTCAAAACCGACCCTTTTGGGTTTTTAATTGCAAAAAACGACCGGTTTTGAAAATATTTACAAAAACCGACCTATTTAGCTGAAAACAGGTCGGTTTTTTTAAATTTTTTTGGGAAACTTCACGGGAGTTGAACTCCCGTGAAGTTTTTCTCATAACAAAACTTCACGGGAGTTGAACTCCCGTGAAGTTTGGAAGAAAAAATTTCAAAAACCGACCCAGTTTCAACCAACTGGGTCGGTTTTTATAAATAAAACTGAAATAGGTCGTTTTTTACAATTAAAAATCCAAAAGGGTCGGTTTTGAAAATTTCTCCAACTGTTAAGGGGCTGTTTGGTTGTTGTTGGTAAAGTTGTGTATTTATGACACAACTTGAAAAGTTGTTATCCACCTCATCAATTTTATTTTTATACTTTTCTTTGTTTGTTTTTTATTCCATTAGAATCATAAATTGCTTGTTTGGTTTGTAAATGTAACGGAATCATAAATTGCTTGTTTGGTTTGTAAATGTAACTTTAATTGTTTGTTTGGAAAGTGTAAAAAGTGATCCCTACTCAAATGATCAATTGTTTGTTTGGAAAGTGTAAAAAGTGATCCCTACTCAAATGATCATATTGGTTGGAATTATTTTTTCATGACTTCAATGTCAGCTTTCTCCTAAAATCATGTCTTTTTTTTATGAAATCACTTTACAAGTCACATCAACATATAAAATCACTTTACACTATTTTCACAACTACAAACAAACAATTGAAAGTGATGAAAGCTGACATTGGGACCCACTTTTTTACACTTACCATCCTTTTACATGGTAAAAACATACAACCAAACAGAACCGTTTCAAGTCTTCTCCTAAAGCATAATCTGCGGTTTTATTGGGAGATTCCGCTGTCATAGTTTCCGTTTTCCTGATACTTTCATTTTTATTTTCGTTTTTATGTTTCCAATAAAACATTCAGGATTTATATCCGGTGTCCTCAATCTTGGGGGGGAGAGAGGGAGCGCCTAGGAAAAATGCTTACACTTAAAAAAGGCGAAGAATATTACGATGACACGAAATATTTCAAGTTTCTGTAGTAAAATATACAGAGGGCAGATTGACAGTAATGATAATTTCACAACCAAAGTAGTCACATGTCTTAAACATCTATCGAGCCCTCACACGTGTACTCGCATCACCTAAGAACGGTCTACATCTGAACCTAGCTCTGTGTCAAGATACGGAAATTGTAAACGCTTTCAGACATTTTTCACCCTGAATATACAATCATGCATCATTGTGGTTATGCAATGAACTATCATCAGGCAATTTCTTTCAATATCCTGAGAGCGCTTTTGTTAATGTGCTCTGCAGTTCAGCAACAGAATCTATTGCAGACTTTGTAAGCCAGCTGATTCCTACCTTCACTCTATGTTCATCAGTAGGCAATCTCCACAAGTACGCCAGCTTCCTCGCTGCAACCAAAATTTGAATTGTCTTCTACTTGCATTAATTTCGCGAGTGACTAGCGCTGAAAATGAGAAAAATCTACCTACCTGTATGCCCTATAGGGCCTTCGAGCGTTAGACCCTCGATGAAGCTTGGGGTGATTGCTGCGTCGTTCCTCCCAAGGGTCATCATCTCTCCAAGATTTTGAAACCTAGCAACCAAATGGGCCGATATTAAGGATATGAGGTTGGAATTCAAGTCAAAATCCCATGTCTCGGGCTGAAAATTTCAGACACGTAAATGAATTGATTTCTAGCTGAATGTGATGAAACAAATCAGTCTCCAAGAGGGTAATAAATACGTGCTTATAGTTTTTAGCTTAGGTAGAACTTATTGGCTAGAACCTAGCAATTTGCAAGAGTTTTCTGGTCGATCTTCCTATAGTCCAAAACTATCACAAGTATTTCATGGTCCTTTTTTGATATATCTAGCCACGAATGACACAAATTTTGATAACCAGATTTTTATTTAAAAGAAAAACGAGTTACATCAACAACAAGAAAAAAACACCTGAATGGTAGTAGAGGTCGGTCATTAATTGCTGCCCAAAGATTCCAACCAGCAAAATCTGCTTGCTGAAAAGCAACCTGACAAAGCAACCGGTGACATGAATAGTTGATTGTAGAATTTACCTAAGAAATCAAGAGAACATGTACAAATGATACTATGAATTGACATACTTGTGCTGTTGCAGGTAGAAGCCTTCCAGATGAGTCTCTTATAGCTGCCGAGTCGCCAATTGCAAATATACGAGGATGTCCTTTTACACGAAGGGTTTCATCTGTCTCTGCTTGCCCCCGAACATTTAATTGTATACCACGAGGCCAGTCAAAAGGCTCAAGCTCAGGAACTAATGGCTTAGATCCTACAGTCCATAACACTAAATCTGCTTCCACCATTTTACTCTCTAGACCTCTCTCAGCAGGTTGAAGATCCAAGATGAATTTACTATGAGTTGTTTCCTTATTAGAACCCATTCCTTCTCCGTTACTCGTTAGTGTATTTGAATTTTCAGAAACTGATGCTTCTTTTATACAGCTTACATAATAACCTAAGTAGAGCTGAATGTCGCGAGATTGAAGTACCTGGTGAAGCGAAGTTTTACTTGTCAAAGATCATGGAGCATCATATTTCTAGGGACTGAATTTTTAAGCATATATGAATGTTGTATTAGTAGAGATTATAAATGACATAATCCTGAAAAAAGAAAAGGCCAACAGCTGGACCGTTTCTAGAAATTAATATGTTACTCAGAATCTAGTGTTTGCTACAAAATATACAATTAAGTTTCTCAGAAATATGTATTTCATACTCTAGGGACCGAGTCTTTGGTGTCAAAATTATTTCGATTAGAGGGATATAAACTTGTCAAAGACCCTAAATGTTATCGGTTATTGTAGCACCTTGTTTAATTTTAATTTTTACCAGGTGCACAGTCTTAATTTTATTACTAATAATCTCTTAATTTTGAGAACCAGAACTCAATGCATCAAAACCTTTCTTATGATGCAAACTAATAATGGTTACGATATTCAGACCAGTAATAATGATAATAGTAGGAATGAGAGTTACTAGAGAAGCATGCATATTTGACACTATGAGATAAAGGACCCTATCATTTTTATTTTTTATTTTTTATTTTTATTTTTTTAATATTTTTTTAACGTTTCCAAGAAATAAGGAGAATGAGATACTTTTTTATATCTTTCACTATTTAGGTTGTTGTAAAATGTTAAATGCTACATGAGTTTCGTCATTCATAGGGAATGTAACATGCTAGAAAACTGATATCACTGCTAAAAACTAAAACAGTGCCTCAAAATCTGATGCCAAATTAAATCAAGAAGTCCATTGATCTTACATCAATTGGGACCTGGTGATGGTAGGTTCTTTCTGACAAGAATATGAATATTAGAATATTGATTATAGTGCATAACTGATCAATAAGCACTATATGACATAGAGACAAATCTATCAATCATGAGAATTATAATGTATCATCCTTCAATAAATTACAATAAGTAAGAAGTCTCACTTTTAAGGCAGCTTCTCTGTTTCCAGGGGGAGCACTTGGACATATAGTAGTTCCAACATTTATTGCTTGAACTATCCCTTTATTTTGTAGTCTATCGGATATAGTAGCAGCTAACTCAACTCCAGAGTAACCACACCCCACAATGGCTACACATATAGGAGATGAATCGTCATCAAAGCGTTCTCGTTCCAACATGCGTAGCTTGTCGTCAACTTTCTAGAAATTAGGTTTGAAATAATAAAGGAAATCAAGACATGTAATAGAAGGTAAATTCAAATCCAGATACGAAAAAAAAAAATTTGACAAATTCATTTTCCTACAAACAATCTAGTTTACGCGCTTTCATTGAACTATTTAATTTGTCACAGAAAAATCAGGAACTTTTGTGGGAAACTAAATCCTATTGTTGTTATAATTTTCAACTGTTCAGCAAGATATATGAGAATACACAAGTGGCTCACAGACTTTCTTGTAAAATAGGGTCCTTTCAGATATGACTAATAACTCATGACATATATCCATGTGTCAAATATACATATATTCAAAAGAGTTGTCAAGGGCGTCCATGTGAGTGGATTTTAAAAAATTATTTGTGTTGCACACTCCTGTTCGTGGAGTGCGACATTAGTGCTAGAGCCCCAAATAGCACACCTCTATATGCAATACAGCATAATGTCTGAAATATTGTCATTTCCATCATCAATAATGAAACTACAGTTTTTACTATGAGCTACAGGACACTGATACACTTCTGGGACAGTTAATATACATAACAGAAGAAAATGACATTTATGAACAGGAATAGAGGAACAAAAACATGTGAAGTCTCTATATATGATATATTAACTCAGCTTATGAGCTGTTCGCTGTGCACCAAGGTAGATGCAGGCTGAAGAAAGTAACATAGCACCAGGTATACATAAGAGTAAACAGATATTTGCAAGGTCATCAAAATACAAGTGATATAAAAAGTATAATCTTCCTTACACGTGCATCTTCCAAGGTTGTAAATGGAATGGAATATTCAGCAGAACCCGGTACACTGTCAACTTTAGCTTCAGCTCCCAAAGCTAAAACCAACCTGGCTGCCCAATTGTAAGGATGCAACATCGGAAAGAGGCAGGAGATAGATTACAGCCTGTAAGCTTGATTCTAATTTTCAAGTTCATAGGCTACAATTATATCACCAGCTAAAAAAACATCAGCAAAAACTGTATGCAATAGATCACTCATAAGATACAATAGATTCATAGATTCCATCGTACAAATTTAATTTACAAAGAGAACATTAAGCAAGATCAAGTTTAGCAAGATCAAGTTCAGCATAAAACAGAATTAACTACATGTAATGAAGCCATATTGAATAATTTTGTAAATCAACCATAATAAGTTACAACCATAAAAATGATTAGAAAAATCATCAACGGGGTTCGAAACATGTGAGAGAGAGAGAGAGAGAACTATGTTGTGGTGTTCTAATCTATCAAATACTTTTTATTCTTCTTTTATTTTTCATTTAGCTGGCACTCCATAATGGATGGGGAATGTGACTCCATTTTGCACTTGGGCTTACATTGACGTGTGGACATGAGGAAAATCCCCTAGAAAGTCACAACAACTGCTGCTCCTCAACTTCATGTTTCTTTAGTCTACACTCTACAGTTATTCAAAGGGCCCAGCAGTTCAATAAGCTTAAACTGCACGAGCAATAAGAGCGTTCTTTTGACGTTCCATGAGAAGGAATTTCCTTACCATATTTTTATTTAATACGAGTTTGCATCAAGAATGCTACCTAGATAGGTGGCCCTGAAGTGTGGGACTTTAACTTCGAATGGGACTACCTATGACCCAATTAACGGAATAATAGTTTGATGATGATGATGAGCTACCAACTTAATGGATAGATTTGTTTCAATATGGCATTCATGGGAAGCCTATGGATGATAATTTAAATGCCACCTTCTCAGATTATGAGTCATACACCATATACTACATCATAAACTTCAAAATAGCAAAGTCACTAGGAACTTAGTTTCCAAACAAGTGGTTCTATATTTTACAGAGAGGAGACTAGTATCAGAAAGAAACTGTTATATTCTGGTGTCAGTTTTAGACAAAAAGATACGGGTAAAATACTTTATTTTTTAGTTGGAGCCATCGGAAACATTGTCAGTTTGTAATATATTTGACACAAAAGTGAACAACAGTCCATGGAAAATTTTAGCTTTGATCTATCAAAGAAAAAAACACTGGACAAAACCATAACTTTATTTATTAAACAAACATGAAATAACTACCAGTCATATTCTATGATTGTGCCACTTTCAAGGTGAACAGTGCCACCAAAAAATTGTTTTCCAGGTTCCCTCATTTGTGAGTGATTCACATAATCGGAAGGTCGTAAGAGCTTTACTCTATCTTTGACAAATTCCACACTCGTGTTGTTCAGCAAATCTGTGAATAAGGGTGCTATTTCCCAGGCATCTACTTCTGTCATTCAGCAATTAAATGGAGAAATGTTAGACAAATAAAACAAGCGCATGGAATACTTAATGTTTTGGGAAATATCAATATGAGAAAAAGTATAACATTTGATAAACTGATTGATAATTTATAACAATAAAAAAAAGGAATGAAGAAAGTAAGAATGCGGAGTTGTTTTCATCATTTGTTTGATGATAGAAAAATACAAAAAGTTCAAGTTAGAACCAAATGGATCGTTGTGCGTTGTGAAATCCACGTTAACGATGCTTCAAGGAAAATAATAGATAAGTTTTGTAGAGGACAATAAAGACATGCATTAAGTGCAGAAAAAAAAGTATATGGTCATCAAGACAACGTACCTCCTGAAAGAAGCTCATAAAGCAGCGGCTTAAAAACAAATCGATCAGACTGGTCTACTAGCACTACCTGAAATGGTCCGAAAAAATTGTACTTAGAAGATTGTTTTCTATATGCAAATACTTTTAGGGACTGATTAAAACGCATCAGTAAGCATAGCAAACCTGAAGCATCAGAAGGCCAAAGCATTGGGATATCAACAATCATCAACCACATAATTCAAGAAATAACATGAAAGGCATAATTGCAACACAAAGAAAGCAAAATCAGCTCAAGTGGTGGGTTCATCACTAGTGTGCTTCCAATACCTTCAAAGATAGGAGAGTTGCTTATTTTTATATATCACAAGAGGATACCATTAAATTTCATGATAATGGAGTTGCTAGTTTGCATGAATACAAAAGGATATAAAACACAAGCGAAAAAACTTTGATATAGCAATTAACAAGTTTCAATGTATATGGCACGAAGCAAACCCAAATCAAACATACAAATAAGATTAAAATCATAAATAGCAAGCAGCCAATAAAATGTGCCAGATGTCACCGAAATATCTCATACAAATCATGAATGTTTACAAAATACTACATATTTGACATAGCACCAGAAACACTTAACCTGAGGCTTTTTATCATCAGGCCATACAAGAGAAGCAAGTCTGAGAGCAGTATACAGGCCTCCAAATCCACCTCCTAATATACATACACGTGGTTTCTGCAATCAAAAGAAATATTGTACCTCTTAATTACATAAACATCCTTCCTAGCATCATTCAGAGATGCATATAAACAGTCATATAAGAATCAAGAGAAATGCTTCCAGCCCCATGAATTCTGAATGGATCTCATAAAAACTATTACCTCTAAGACCTGTTGAGCATTGTTTCGTTAATTTTTGGGATCATTTTAGGGTTTTGTATTTAGCATATATAAACTGCATATTATCCCATTAAAAGAATCACTACTTTTTTACATTTTGTACAGAAACAGTAACCTTTTAAATAGTTAGAGTATGCTAAAAATAGAATTGCATGAGCATGCAAGAAAATCAGAAATAAATCAGTCTAAAAGTTCATTTGAAAAGGTAACCATTTTAGAAAGATAAATCTTACAATCCATGAGGCCAAAGACAGTTTTCTGTGTCTTTCTTTAGCATAATTTCAAAAAAAAATTAAAATTAGAAAGGCCATCCCTTTTCTTTTACGTTTAGAAACAATGTTATATGTTCCCCCAAAACATAAAAACTGAATAATGTGCTAATACTACATAATATCCTGGAAACATGCAAGTCTAATACTTCAGAGGGAATATCAAGGACAAGTGTAATGCAACAAATTCTACATGCATTAGTTAATTCTTCAATATTAGCTCTTGCATATATCGCTTTATTGCATACTTTATTTTAGAAGGGGAGATAAAGGTGGTGACAGAGTAATATGAATCCAAAAAGATTTTAAGCGAGGAATGAGGAAACATTATTTTAAGCACAATAATGAATGCATGAAAAATAAACAGGAATGTTGTATGCACAGTTTTATGCATATGCACAAACGTGACATGCATGCCCACTAGAAAGTTATGTGAGACTAGGAGAATATAAAATGTAAGTATGATCATAAATATTATTTTGGGCCTTATTCACCAGAATTTTTCTCATAAGGAAATATAAACCCTTAAAATCAGATGGACTGATTACCATTATTTACACTCGATTATGAATTTCAGACTTCTATTCTAGGCATGCAACCTGATACGCCTGTATCAGATAATAATACCTCTTAAATATATATACTACTAAGCAGAAGTGTATGATATTATGTAGGTTAAACATTCTTTATGGTCTCATGATCACATACAACAATCACTATTAGCTCCTTCAGTAATTATGATCAATGGGACTGTAATATAAAATACTAACATTTATATAGATCAAGGGATTAGCTCTGAACAAACAACTATTAATCAATTCAAATTGGTGTGCAATTATTGGATGGTTTATCTACACATACACACACACACAGAGCCAAAAGTGTGTAGCTGGCAAATCCAGTAAATGGCCGAAGGAAGGAATTATGAGGATATATTGTGATTATTAACACATGTACCATAAGTGTAGTTCCCAAAGTCTACACCCAACAATCATAGCCACATATGCCATGCTGGGCATGTTTAGCATGCGCCAGGCTTCAGCAGACAAGTACGAGGAGCAAGAACAAACAAAGGAAGAAGAGGCGGCTTGAACAGAGTGGATAATTTGCACGTTTAATGATATGGGGAGACAAATTTCAAAGCAAAGGTCAAGAGAATAATAATCTGATAATGTTATGGATAATCTAGTCTCAATCAAAAATGAAACTCAGGGTAAAGAACTAAAGATAACAACAATTATTAGTGAACGAACTACCCTCATAGCTTAAGATATAATCTATCATCATTAAAAAAATGAGAACTATTTTTTCATGGTTGCAGGGAGATTAATGAACAGCAATTCCCTGAATATGCAGTGCCCACTGCCCATTTATGTTAAAGAGAACTTCTTATATATAAGGGGTTGACCTGCTTATCTGGCCAGGTATACGATGGAACTTTTGTTTCACCTCCTGATGTTCGGGCAACAAAACGTTTTACACCTGTTCTGCCTAATGAAATACTGAAAAAGATTCCAACAGATCTGGTGAAAACTGATATTCTGCCTGCACATTTCCATAAAATTAAAGTAAATCATTTTCTCCAAGTCACCCAGTAATTGCTTCTGAAAAAGGAGCAGCTGAAACCAAGGAGAAGAGGACTCAATTGTTTTTCTGTAAATATAGTCCAAGTAAATACAGCAATCTGAGATAGTAATAAATTTAGATGCCTCTACGCTCCCAAACACCTCCGGTGGAATAAATTAATAAGGAGAAATTTGCATATAACACCTTTGGTTTCATGCAATACACTATTACTTGATACAGAGTAAGAGTATAGAAGTTAAAAGTAGAGGTACCTTAACAGCAATGATATAAACAAGAAAAAATCTACTAACTGGCTGAAAATGATGGCATGCCTGTGGATGTTGCAAAGCTTTAAGAAGTAATAGTGTGTAAACAAGGCATGATGACAGTTCTTACTACTCCGATGTATCAAATGCAATAGAACAATGAGAATGCAAGACGCCAGCAATGCTATCGAACTGTAATAATCCGTTTCTTGGCTTTGAATTCGGTTGTTGTGGGTACAGATAACTATCATATGTACTCCATTTTATCAATGATGCTACATTAAAACTCATAAAAGTTGCCCATTTGGAAAATTTATGATTAATTACTACTATCCTATTGTGAACTGCTTCTTGTTCCAGTGTAAGAGCTCAGTGTAAATTGTCTAAAATAATGCAGATTGATACCACACTCATCCAAATATTTACTCAACACCCTATTATCATACTCATATGCACCCTTAATCAAATCTGATTATATCAAGGTATTTATCCGCATTAATTCCAAAAATAGTTGCCACTTGGAGCTTCCACAACTTAGCAATAACATCAAGCATCACAACTTAGCAATAACATCAAGCATCATAGTTATTGCCAAGTTTTTTAATAGAAAATCAGTTTCAGCTCTTTTTTCTTGCAAAGCAAAGATGCAGTTCCAATTGTAAGAGCACAAATCCAGACCAAGCATCATCATCTATGCTCCCTAAATCCTTATATGTATCTGTCATATTCTGTGATAACCAAGGTCTAATATTTGCCAAAACTAGACAACGCTTTGATCACTTAGAACATAGTTCCAGTTAACAGCACTCAGAGCAATAATATTATTGGATGCAGCAATCCACTATTATATCATCGAAGTGTTATATCTTTACTATGGAACCTCCTCTTCGGTCTACATGACTAAACACAATTACATAAAGTTTGTTATCATTTCTCTTTCATTCCCCGTCTTTTCAAGCGAAGGATAATTTCTGTGCATTTTTCCATTTATTCCAAGATCTTTTATTGCATCAGCATAATCTACATCGTTTATATCAGGTCGACGTCAGGTAAAAAAGAAAAAGAATTTCTTCCATTGATCTCCCTGACTTCAGAAGGGACACATTTTGATAGGAAATTGCAGGATTTGGCGAAGCTATAAGGTTATCATATGATTAAATGTTTTATTTCCTAAATAACATCAACAACATCCCCGCACCGTGCCTCCGTTAGTAAAAATTCAGTCTTTATTCAGGCTGCAATCACTTACCAACTCAAACTTGCTTACATGATCAAATTGAAATGATCACATTAAAACGGTTTTTTTTTTTAAATGTAAGGATAAGAACAAATTTACCATGCTGCAGTCGGCCGGAGCTTGCCGGAGCGCCGCAGGATGATCTCGCCGGAAACTTAACCATCGGGACCCCCGTAAGTGGTCGGCGATCTCCGAGGGCTGAGAACGACAGGGGAGAGATCGAAACCCTAGCCATCGAAGAAATTTGCCGAAGGATTATGGGAGGGGACAGAAGTAGCGCTTCCCCTCTTCCAAGCTATTGAATGAGGGTTCAGGTGATGCTTTGAGCGCTCAGGCCACAAATGGGCCACGTATTGTGCCACATCCTCACGAGATTCCCACGGTGCTCAGGTTGGGCTTGTTGGGCCAAAACAACCCCATTAAACGATTTTAAAGGCTAGCAAAAAAAACGATTTCAGAGTTTTTTTTTTTTAAAATGAAATTTTTCAGGGGGGCAAACTAACAAGCCTAGGTAGAGAAATTAGGGTTTTACCGGAAATGGATTTTGTGAAAAGATTTATAAGCAGAAAATGGCATTACTTTTCCGTGGGCGTTACTTTTACGCGACTGGGGAAAACACCGCGTTTCTTTTCGCGAGTATTTTACGCGTATATTACTGCACGTGTATCTTACGCGTATCGGGGAAAATAAACTCGCGTATATCAGCGTCAACTAAACGCAATTGGGCCGATGCCGATTGTGCGGTAAAAGCTACATCTCCTTTGGCCCATTAAATACAATTTGGATACATCGAGTGCTGCGTTCAACCCATTAAATGTGCCTCAAAGAACTTTCAAAGGCCCAGTGGATAAATGACGTTCAGTTATGCTAGTGTTTTTAGCTTTTTCTCCAAGGAAAAATTGAAAATGAGAAAGAAAAGGGGACATTAACTCAAGAAAAAAAACGTAAGGAATCGCTTCCATCAATTTTTCCTAAGTCTATAAATTTTGCCTTTCATCGATTTATAAAAAGTAGCACATTATACTTTTCTCCTTTCAATCATCGCAAAACAAATTAGCTCTTGTTACACGTTTGATCTCAATTCTATACGGAATAGGGTCCTCGTTAATTAGGTGGTAATTGAAGAGAGTCTAATTCTCTCCATCATTACCGTCTCTGTCGCTTCCAATGAGTGAGATCATGGCACGTATTTATTTTTATATAATCTTGTAAACCACTATTAAATATGAAAACAATTATAGTGAAAACAACTATTTGTGATAGTAAAATTTTACATGGTGTGACCTCATTCAAAAAATTGAGATGGGTGGTAATTATTAAGAAAATTGAACTCTCTCCCCTTACCATCTAATTTGAGAATATGGATGACAGTTTAGTGGGGCCCAATGAGTCAGTGAATAACTCCACTCATAAATATTACTACTAGCACCCGCCTCTCACCCCCGCTAGAAATTATGGGCCCCGTGCAAATGACACCGTACCACTTAATACTGGTCCACATGCGGGTGTCGTTCTATGTGGCCGTATCTCATATCCGGTGGGTCCCATTTGCATCAATAGAATCCACATGCCGTCAGAAGATTATCCACGTGTCACGCATAGCCGTGAAGGATGACGGTCTTGTCGACGGTCGCTCCTCGTTCGCCATTAATCTTAACGACCGTTACGGCCCCTTGGAGCCACCGAGGACGGGCCCGTGGAATCTTAGCGATAGCGACACTGCCGTCAGGCCGCCGTATCTTGGTCACCGTCAGCTCCGTTAAGTCGGCCGTTACAAGACACTTTTTGATAGACACGCCTGATTATCTTGGATTTTCTTTTCAATAAAGACCCCAACATTGTAGACATCTAAGTTTTGCCCAAAATTATCGGAGTAGCCAATTTCCACTCAATTTATTTTCTTTCTCCGTCATCAGATTTTGTTACATTTAATAGATAAACTGTCACTTAAACAAATAACTGTTACCTCTATCAAAATCAAATAACTTTTACCTCTATCAAAGTGATGTTTTAGGAAAATATTGGAGAGGAATAAGAAGAGGATAACAGCTTGAGGGATGCTCCTAAATTATCAAGGTAATTAAATACAATTTATTAAGTTGTAAAATAATCAAATGGGTTTTAATAAAAATATGGAATAGAAAATCTTTGATGGATAAAATTGAAAATACAAAGATGGATTAGAGCATCCCCAACAAGCTCCTAGTTGGGAGTCCTTGTTGGAGAGCTCTCAACACCTCTCAAACCATGGCTCACCATTTTCAATGTCACATCAACTTCCTAAGAGCAAGTACAGCAAGCTCCTAATAGGGAGCTTTTTTTGGAGTGCTCTCAAGCATAGGGCCCACTTAGGAGCTTCATACTAGGAAAAATATTTCAACAAACTCCCAACTATGAACATAAATATTATTTAAAAAATCTATTCTTCTACCTCTAACATTTTATAAATATTTTTTAAAACAACAAATCTAATAAAAATTATTTTTTAGTGGGCCCCCACCCCTTAGGAGCTCTCAAGTGCTCCACAAATTTGTGGAGCTCTTAGGAGCTCCATGGTGGGCCCCATCGCCAACTAGGACTTGAGAGCTTCATTGGGAGCTTGTTGGAAGGTCTTGGGAGCTTTTTCTTGCCACATAGGACTTAGGAGTCTTCTTGAGAGGTTACTGCACTTGCTCTAACTAATGTTGATCTCCAACAAACTCCTAGCTAGGAGCTCCAACAATATCGAAAAAACACCTCTTATATTTTAGTTTTGTTACACATTACTTTCAATGACAATTTTCTAAATCTATAGAATTCTTCTTACTGTTCATGATAGTTTTTTAAATCTCAATGATTAATTTTTAAACGGCTAATTTATTGTTCATATCAATTTTGAAAAATCACCAACGGTTAAATTTTAAACGGCTATTTCCAAATGGTACAAAGGTAAGGGGTTTTTTGTAAAAAAAATTAATAGTTTGGGAGCTCCCAAGCGGCGCTTTGGAGCTTTGTGCCATGTTAGACCAAGGAGCTCCCACCGCCACCTCAACCTTAGGAGGTGGGGTGGGAGCTTGCTGCAGATGCTCTTAGAAATTAGCTATTCTTTTTAGGCGGCAGTTCAGGGGGTATATTTTAAAAACAGCTAAATCTTTGGGATACATATGAAAACTAACCAATTATTTTTGTGCATGATTACGCGTGTATATTACCAAAGCAGAGTGTATTTATCTACTTTAAGCAGTTGCATTAATGAAGGTCTTTTCGTCTTCTTTTGGTTTTGGTTTGGTGACGTTGGCTAGGCTTTTATTGAGCGTATCAAATGGAGCTCCTTTAATGAGGCTCAATAAAGGCCTCTGCTTTATTTTAATGAATTAATTCCTATGCTCCATCAAAAGCGTCATGTTTCAGACTATGAGTAGAAAATAATAAGATTCATTGAATGCAGCAAACTCCTCTAATTCCAAATAAATATGCAAGTTGCGGGTTCTTTGAATCCTTGCACTTCGTAATTGAGAAAGTAAAATATAAGTCAAATTTCAAATTTGATGTGGCGTCAGCTTTATAATGTACAGACTGTGATTAGAAAAGAATAAGATTCTTTATCCGTTGGAATTATATATGTTTAGCTAAGTGCTTGTTTAGAATAGTCTTCCTTTGTCCCAGCTTTTTTTTTTATAAATAATAAGTTACAATGGACTTGGCTGCATTTTATTCCATTGGTATACTTTGTCCCCCCCAAAAAAAAATGTTTATTTAGGTATTAGTCCCCTAAATTGTATGAACATGTTGACGTTAGTCATTTTATTAGTTTTACCGTTCAAAACCCTCAATTCTGATTAGGTTTAGACTAATTATAAATTTTCTAGTTCTCGCTCTCTCTACATAAAAGGTGTTCGGGTTTGAGTTTGGATTCACTGATAATGGTCCATTGGGGAAGAAGATAGGTGTTCGGGTTTGGGACTTTTATCAAGTTTAAATTTAAAGGGTTTTGTACGTCTAGATAACAGGAATAAGGGTAATGAATTTTAAGGAAAAAGTTAAAAACAATGGAATCTTCCCCATGAATTATAACCTCAACTAATGAGGGGTACCAATATCAGATTTTATTGCAAGTTGGGGGACTAATATCAAAATATGAAAATATAGGGTACTAATATTGAAATACTAATGATACGAGGGACTAATATCTGAAGAAGAAGAAAAAAGATTATTCTTTCAAATGTGCGTTTAAAAATAAAGAAACCAAATTTTGAACTCATGCGCAATCCACGTGTCTTGATTTCTAATTATAAACAATATTTCTAACAAGATTTCGATTTGTTCGGGAAGTACAAACCCACATGCGTGCTATCTATGGATGTTCATTCGTCGAAGGAATGACAGTAATTACGTTGCATATTAGAAAACATGTTTTCCTTATATGCAGATAGAGATGCTTATTTGGAATGAAAACTATGCTGTCCGTCCAAAGTTAAAAAAAGGGATTTTTCATAGAAAATGCTTTCAAGATAACGTCATTCCACTAAAACCACTTTTAATTGTCAATTTATTAATAAATTATTTTTAAATAAATTTTATATTGCAATCAAACATCTAGACTCGCTTTTCAACAAAAAAATCCTATGGTCGACTTAGGGCCCGTTTGTTTGCACGGAAGTAACTGTGAAATAGCAGAAGTAGAGGCTACTTCTGCTACTTCTAGACAAAAATATATGTTTGTTTCTCTTGAAAATTTACTTTCGCTACTTCCTTAAATAATGATATGGCGCCTACGTGTCATCTCTATTTCCTTATTTTTCCGTCATCAAAGCTCTGAAATACGATGGAAGTTATATAGGGTTGGGTCCAACGGAAAAAAAACGTTGGTGATTGTTTTTCCTGTTGTTTCGTTCTGTTAGGCATGAATGATCCCTCTTGAGTTGTGGACCAAGATCAGAAGTGCATAATACACAAGCGAAAATGATCCCCATTGGCCATTGGTGCAGCTTGACCAAGATACTAAATTAGCAACCAAGAGAAAAGAAGGAGAAAAAAACAATGTCGTGCGTGCTGCTTCATGATCTTCGGCACCAATAATTTATATCTCTGTGTCATACCCCTTGATGCGAAATGGAAAGAATAATTTTATTATATATCAAGCAAATCAACAATGAATATTAGTCTCTTCAATTGATGACAACAACAACTCTATTTATATTTCAATGACAATCTAAACAAGAATAAAATGGAAGCAACATGTATTAATTACTTCCTAGTAATATTTTTAAATATTATCCAAACAAAAAAGTAAATGAAGAGGAAGAAGTTCTACTTCCATTACTTCTAAAAAAATATGAAACAAACAAAAAAATT